CCCACTTGACTGAGGAGCATGGGGACAGTAAATCCATTTGGCTGCATTTAGGAGAGTCATCCAGACGGAGACAAACTGGAAACTAGCCGCAATGCTCAGCTCTGAAATTGATCTAGCATCCAGGGAAGGGCTTAGACTCATGATCAGCTGTGACAGCCACCCTTGAAATGGCAATGGCCTGAATAGGTTAGGACACCGTGGCTCTACCCTAACACCCAATGTGCTCATTCGCTTGCTGCTCACCACTGAATTCTATGTAGCTCAATGCAAGGATTACAAAGACATCTATGTGTTAGGTATTCAGTGGTCATAAGCCACGTCCAGATATCTGGCTAGTATATTGGGCTTTGACAGTATAGGCTGATAGGATACTGCTGGAAGCATGCAAGTTCCCCAGCAAAGTCTGTGTGCCTGGGCTGCTCACTGGTCCTGCTCTTTTAGGCCATAGAAGCCCTAGAGAACTAAGTTCTGAATCAGGCATCAGAATAACAAATCCAACTGAATAAAGGCCAGGCCAGCCACATGGGACCAATAGGTTAATGAGTGCTGAATCAAGGCTTCAATCTTTCTAGTTCTCTTTCTAGTTTCTCCAATTTCAGACCCCAAAAAGGCACTATTGAAAAATTAGACCCCACCTTTCAGAACAAGGAGTTCTACTCAATGCAATTCCTTGTTCAGAAAAAGCATGCCAGCTTCCATCTAATTCTGGACCTCACATTAGTGGATTTGTACAATGCATACTTCCATGTTCCCATTGCTCCAAAATACAGGTGCTTCTTCAGATTTGCCTTCTTTGGGCAGTAATACCAGTTCAATGTTCTGCCCTTCAGGCTATCTCTAACCCCATGATTGTTTTGGAGATGAAAGCAGACTGCCTTGTAATCTCTGATGGCCAGAATCTTACCATACAACAGGCTCTTATGTACCTCCATCAGATAGCAGGACACACAGGACACCTTCAATCTCCTCTTAAACATTTTGCGGCTCAGTCTCAAGATGAACACAGAGAAGGGCCCCCTAGAAGAGATGCAAATGACAATTTAACAGCACAGAGCTGGATTCAGTGATCACAATGCTCACCAGCAAGCAGGCCACAACATCTATTTCTGGATCCTCTTGAGGATGCTGCTATTGTAAGTGCAGTGGTTTCCTAGGGCCTGTTGGAATTAAGGGATATTTAGAGGTGCATTATCAGACTGTGGGTGAACCCCAGGCAAAGGTGCATTCTCATTTCAGAGAAACAGACACAGACTCTGATCTTCTGGATATGTGATGCATTTCTCACAAGGGTTTACAAGAGTGTTTGCCGACCAGAGACATAAGGTAAGACATCTGGTAAGATGCCTTCCTTACCAGATGTGGAGCAGTGTGGTAGCACGGGGGCATATGAACCCACATAAAGCTCATCAATCTACTAGAAGTGAAACAACCCACCTTGCACAGAAGCTCCTTAGTTGGGTTCACCAGTGGCTAGACTCACTGACAGTAACTTAACTGGTTGGCAGTGCCCCCAGTATGTAGATTACCTCAAACTTGAATGGCTGAAGTGCCAGATACCAAGGAATGATCCATTGGCATCCTTCATGTGGTGGAGCCATTGGAGTAGGGCATGATTGAAACAGAGTGTAAAGGGGCACCCCAGGGTGAGGATTGCCCACTTGATGGACAGACACTTGTTCTCTATTGTGCTGTACATACTGTCTCTTATTGAGAGCTTCCAGCTAATGTACAGCATGGGGCACACCTTCCCCTCCACCACCTAGGAAAAAACAGGTCCCAGCCCTCTGTGTGATGCATTGTCTGCAGAACAAAAGGGAGAGAAAAGTCAGGAGAAAGCAACAGCAGCCCCCCACATAAAACTGCTTTTTACCTGGCAAAAAACCCGCTTGCATGGCTTTGTCCAATGGGTCAGATCTGGCACTGCCTTTTAGAGAAGTCAGTCAACAGGCTGGTCACAGCTGAAAAATTAGGTACACACCTATGATAATAGCCAGCCAGCCCCATGAACTGCCTCACCCCCTTTTTGGTCTTGGGATTCGGGCAGGCTACAATCACTGTGATCTTATCAATTTGGGGACACACCTGCCCATGACCCAAATGTAAGCCCAGATACCATAATTCTATCTGCCTAATTGCACACTTCCCTGGGTTTGTTGCCTATCTCAATGATCTCAGGACAGCTGTCAGATGTTGTAAATGCTGCTGCCTGTCATTACTATAAATAATTATATGATCTAAATAAGCAATATGTGAAACATTGCTGGGGCTCCAAACAAACCAAATGAAAGGGTGACAAATTGGTGTAACCCAAACCGAGTGGAAAAAGCCTTCTTTTCTCTGGATATTGGAGTCAAGGTAAACTTGAAAAGCGAGATGTTGCATAGAGGCACTGCTTCAGGATATTGTGTTGCGTAATCCACCAGGACTAACACAAAGTGATACCCTCATGATACCCTCTAATGGCCTGAAGAGGTTGCTGCCAGTTCTTTCAAAGGGTAATGAGTGCAATGGTGCTTTTGGAGTGGCCAGTGGATTCACCAGCTGACATTGACAGCATGCTGCACACCACCTGCGTACATCGCCGCAAATGCCAGGTCAGTAGAAATGAAGCATTAGACAGCTAAGTAATTTATCCTGTCCTAGATGCCCCGCCATGAGATTTTAATGGGTTGCATGAAAAAGCATTTCCCTTTGCCCAACCAAAAACTGAGTGGTCTCTTCTATTGTGTGAGTACACACATCTCACCTTCACAAACTGTGCATTTCCCAATGCCTCGCCTTGAATCAGGCTTTGGTGAACTGAGGTCTGATTTCACCCCGGAGTCCACCAAGGCCTGATGTGTACTCCAATTGGGATACTTACCGGTATGTGATACATTCCTGCTTGGTCTGGGGAGGCCTGAGGCATGTCAGGGATTTGGGTCAGCGTTCCCTCCCCCATGGGAAAGCTATCCTTGAAATGCCTGAAATTTCCAGCAGTGCCAACAAACCTGCCCGGGCTTTGCCCCAGTTCTGGTGGGCACAGGTATTCCCCCTGTGGAGAGAGATGGAGCATGGGGAGATGTTAGAGAGGTGGGGGGAAGGGAGGAAAAATGGGGTAGAACCCAGTCAGGGGTGTTGGTTTTAGGGCCCTGGCACCTCTGTTCCAAGGAGCAGGAACCGGGGGGAGAAGAAGGGGCAGAGAGAGAGAGAGAGAGAGAGAGAGAGAGAAATGAAGGATGCCTGGACCAGGGATTGGCAGCCGACCTCAGTGAGCTGCAGTGAACAGAAGCATTGGTGGTGCTCCTCTGGTGTACGACTGACCCACTGTAATACTGCCCTCTGTAATGGCAGCTACTGGATGGCAAGCTGGGTGGCAAGCTGGGCTTCCCTTGATAGCAACAGGTGAAGTTGCAGGGCCCATTTCTCCTCTGACCATTCCCATGCTCAAAAAGCTCAATGAAGGCCTCCGGATCGGCCATCTTGGTGAGCGTCACATGTAGGACAGTGCCAGGGGACACAGCTGGAGATGTGGTGGGCTGCAGCAGTTTCTGGAATGCCCTGAGCGAGGGCTTCGAAGCACAGCTGCTGCATGTTGTGCAGCTCAAGTGCTTGGTGTTGGGTTTGGTGGAGGCTGGTAAGGGACTTTATGATTTCGCCAAGTGGGGAGACTTCCATGGTGGCATCTGAGACCTCCTGGATCCCAGGTTTTGGCGCCACTGTAGAACATGGTGTGTAGTATGTGTGCGGAGGAAAACTTGGGAGGCAGGTGGAATTTCAACAGAGATCTGGGCTCGCATTTATTTTTCACCATGCTTTTTAGCACACTTTCCAAAAACTGAACCAAAACAACCAGTTCAATTGAAAAGGGGGCTGTCATTAGCTTTGGCTTTCCCCCATTCAAGTTCAAGGTTCAAGTTCAAGTATGTGTGAGTGTTGCAAGCTCCACCAGGGATGCCACTTTCTCTCTCTGGTTATGGCAGTCCCTGAAAGCATAGAGAAACACACATAAGGATCCTATCAGTAATAAGGCACAGGTGAGAATTGTCATGTTACCTGCTGGCTCAAGCCACTTCCTCACAATGCTCAACCACACCCCTGCTGCCACAGCAATACTTTCACATTACACATTGGACCATGTCAACATGGTAAAGATGGGAAATATTAATTCAACGTTAGACAGTAACAATTGCTTAACCAATGAGTAACCAAAAAAATATAAAGACAGTCATGGGAAAAAGAAAGTCTTGAAGTGTCTTGATTTGTATCCAATCCTTCTCACTGAAGAATGGTGAATTTGTTGGAGATGGCCTTATAACCCTTCCTAGATTGATGAGCAGCAACAATTGCTTCTCTGAGATCATGGCTGATGTCCTTTCTTCTTGGCATGATGCAGACACACACCTGAGTGCTCCAGAACACCAAACTGGCAAAAAGTATGCTTGTATAGAGGCAATCACATTTCTTGATGATTAACTAATCTTGTGCATTTCATTAGTAACACCTGGCTGCTAATTACTCGCTTAATGGTTATTGAAGTAGGAAGGGTGTACTTATTTTTTCCCGCATGGTTTCTACATGCTGAAGTCTGCTGTGGGTTTTTTGTTGTCACCTGAGCTTATTTGTTTGTTCATAGGAGTTGGTGAGGAACACACAATTGTTATTTAGGCAGTGATAAATAGAATTGAAGGAGGGTGTACTTTCTTTTTTCATGTCATTTAAATTTAGTTAAATTTGGTTTCAATGTATTTGTATTTGTATATGAAGAAAGTCATCTTAGTTTGAGATTCTATAATCAAATATAATCACTGTAAACTGTTGAACCACAGGGATGTTTTTCTGAAAATACCACTACAGAATCCAGGTGCATCCTTAGTGACAAACATTTATAAAAACATACTTAGTAGTAGTAGTAGTAGTAGTAGTAGTAGTAGTAGTAGTAGTAGTAGTAGTAGTAGTAGTAGTAGTAGTAGTAGTAGTAGTAGTAGTAGTAGTAGTAGTAGTAGTAGTAACAACCACTAAGCATGGTGGCTTAGTGGTTAGCACATTTGCCTTGTACTAAAGGGGTTGGGGGTTTGATTCCTGCCTCTGCTCTTTGTGTGGGGAGTTAGCATGTTCTCCCTATGCTTCAGGAGTTTCCTCCCCAAGTCCAAAGACATGCATTGTAGGCTGTTTGGCATCTCTAAATTGTACATCATGTGTGTTTGTACCCTCCAATGTGTTGGCACCCCATCCAGGGTGTTCTCTGCTTTGTCCCCTGGGAGAGGCTCTCCATGACCCTGTGTAGGATAAATAGTACAGGAATAGGACAAATGGCTTATTATTTATTTATTTTTAAATTGAACATTGAATGTTAAAACATTGACTTACACTAGATGTACACATATTTAATACATACATAAAATTAAGTTTTTTTCCCTTTTTTCTTTCTTTCTTTCTTTTTCTTTTTTTTTTTTTTTTTTTTTTTTTTTTTTTTTTTTTTTTTTTTTTTTTTTACTGTTTTTACATTGTTTAAAATGGTTTTTGTATTGTGGTTACAACAAACTGGCAGACAGTGGAGCTGGACTTTATACTGTATATGGACCTTGGTTGTCAAACGTGTTTACAGCATAATTCTGTGTGGCAGCCTATTTTAGTTATTTGTGATTATTGAGTTGAATATTGTATTGGATCCCCTATGGTACATTTAAGCAAACATTCTTAGCAAAAAGCAAATTTCATAAGAAAATTTAGAGGCCCAAACTAGTCCTCACCTCAGCTCACTGACACATCTAATTTTACAAAGAACCCTTTGAAGAACACTTGTGTAAAAATAAAGCTTCTTGTAAAAGCTAATGACTTATCAGCTCAGCACACTGTGGTTAAACTGCTATATGTGGTTTATTTCCAGTAAACACACTCAGCTGCACTTCATGCAAAACCCACCATACTTTCCTCCCACAGCAGATTCCATTCTAATCAATGTAATAAACTTCACTTAGAATTAATACAAATGCATTATCTATGCAGACTCTGTTTGGCTTAAAATGGATTTATGTAAAAAAAATAAAAATAAAAAAAATAAAGGGGGGGTTTCTCTAGTTAATCAGGGTAACTAATTAAGAAAACGCATGCTATAAAAGCTGATGTATTGAGCCATACTGTTTGACTGATGGACATGTCTCAATATTATTACTGATTTACATTTTTCTAGTGGTTCACTTACTTTTTATTATGGTTATTATGGTTATCGTGCGATTTGACACAACACTGGCCTAATTTTTTGTACATGGTATTATCAACTAACTGTTAACAAGGAAGATGTCATGGACAAATTCTTGAGAGTCTCCAGGTAATAATCATGAAGCATATTTTTATTCAGAATGAATACAACTACTTACTTACAGCCCAACATAAATATACATGAATTAGACACCAATTACTTCTCCCAAAGTAAAGGTGTTCTGTTGTATTTCCAGCTGAAGTGCAAAACTAAACCTTGGACAGCATTGCCTAAAGCAATGTTAGTAAACCTTGGGGGCACAGATTGTTTGCTAAAAGTTACTGTATATGCATAGTCAAATGCATACAGTGCGGCAATTTAGCGTAGCATATCATTGGTATATGGCAGTCCATCAAAGCGCTAGCATTTTAAAATCTGAGAGAAAAAGTGTGAACATTGCATTTAAAGATTGCATTTAAAGATAACAGCCTGACAGCCTGTTTAGAAATTCATCCCATCTAATAGCCAATAAAATGTTTAATAATAATATTATAATAAAAAATGCAAATAGTATTTATATGTTATTATAAATTATAAATATACAATATAAAATATTTTTATAAAATAGTAGTGTCCTCAATGACAATATTGTCATCTTTCTATTATCAGTTGTAATCTCTATTATTATTGTAATCATAACCAACAATGCCCATTTTAACCAAATCTATTATGAAAAAACACAGTGTGACTTTATTAAAGAATTGTGCTTGTAAGTTTATGATTTAATCATCATTGTACCATCTCACAATGATCTCTTTTTTATAAATGCTATTTGCATAATTACTCCAAAGGATCATAAAAAAGGGTTCTCTTGAAGTTCTGTAGTTAATTAATAAAGCCATTATTCACTGTTTGTGAAAACATTTAGTGACTATATGAATTGGTTTGTTGACAGGAAGAGAGCAAGAAACACATAAAAATTAAAAGCTGAAATACACACACACTAAACTCTATGTTTTTCTATCTTTAATGAAACAATTGTATATAATAGAACAAATGCAAAGCAATTGTTATAAGATGGTATCATAGATGAGTAGAAGGATACAAGAGGTTAAGTAACTGTGCATACAAACAGATGTATATATAAAATACAATTTAAATCATTGAAAAAATGATTTCAACACACAAACACACATATATATATATATAATTCTGAAGGAAGTTGGTGTGTTGAGCCTTGCTATTTGGCTGATGGACTGATCAGCGAGCTTTGCTCTTGAACATCTCCATGTTAGCAGAATTCCTCTTGTATAGTAAGACAGAGACGGTGCAGAAATACAACACGTTTTTCACCAGCAGTATCACATACGTCACACTGAACAGATGCAGACTGCGGCTGAGCTCAAACAAACCTGCACAAGAGACATAAAAGAGAAATCTTTTACAGATCTGTCATGAAAAATTTCATATAATTATTAAATGTTATATTCAGTTATTATGACAATTGTAAAATATAAACTGGCCAGTGAAATATGAAAACATAATTATTTTATGTAAAAATGCCATTTGATCAATATATTTAGATGATATTTGGCTGATCTTTATCTTTTTACCAGTATTCATGGGTTCCTCTTCCTCCTCTTCTTCTGCTTTTGTAGTTGGACAGGTAATATTTGCGTTTGACTTTTGAGTGACTTCTGTAAGAAATCAACATCATCATGTAAGTTCTGTAGATGTGAAAATAACTTTGGGATATTTGTTATTTCTAAATTAAATAATTTTGCAGCATTAGTTTAAGAGACGAATCACGAAGCTCGAAGGCGTATTAATGATGAATAGTTCACAAAATATTCAACTC